CAAACAAGCTTGGGTTTCAAGATTCACATTCACGATTCTCTTGATCGTGAATTTATATTGACATACTTCTTGTTTCATCTTGAAATCAGAGCAAGTTCGCCCCTGATATGCTTATTGCGGAACGCTGACTGATCTGACTTTGACTGTCACTCGATCATTCACAGATTCTTGATTCAAGATTCAAGATTGACTATTGACTGTAGCGACTCTTGACTCACGCTCACGAACGACACTGACCCTACCATCTCGAATGCGCTATATCCCATTCTCGACTCGTGACTCAAGACTGCTACTAGGCATTCAATGGTTCTACATCGTAGCGCTGGTTCCTTTCTTTTCAGGGTCTGTCGATGTCATCAGGAGTCTGCAAGACGGCGACGGAGATGCGAGCGCGCTCCTTTCAGTGTTCCACGCAAGGCAGGGGAGGCCAGCGCAGCGTGTTTAGATGGAAGGGTGCACGTACCCGGTAGTGACTCTTGATTCACTCGTGACTGCATGGTGACTGGCGCGTGCGTCCCTATGCTGTCATAGCACTCCATCGTGATTGTATCGCCTCATACGTCGATGCGATGCACCTGTTATCCGCCGATAGTCCTTCGAACGTGAGTCATGAGTGGCGTGCGCGATCACGAGGAAGAGCAAGTCGTCGCTGCTGGGCGCGAGGAGTACACACCGTCTTGGCGTTGTCCACGTGCACTCAATTCATGATCTGTAGATTTGTCTTCGGGATTCCTCGAGGTGGACGGATGGTCACAGCGCGACAAGAGATCCGAACAGAAGAGCGACGGCCATCGGGGCCGATAAGCCGGTGTTGAGTGGCAAGCCCTTGTGAGCAGCGTCAGGGGTGCGGGAGGCAGAGGCGGATGGAACACTAGCTATGCTGCTCGAAGTCGGAGTGAGCGAGGTGATGGAGCTCGGGGTGGAGGAAATTGTGCTGGAAGCACTGAAGGTAGAATTGGGGGTGGTTGAGATCGCAGTCGAAGTAGAAGTTGACGCTGGCTGACTGCTTGTGGCGACAGTGTTTGAGAAGATGGCCGGTCTCGTTGGACTGGTGTAGGTGTAAGTACTCCCATCTGTCGGTCCTATGGAAGGCCCAATGGTGATCATCGTGCCTCCGGCTGTCGAGCCGAGAGGGCCCACCCTGACGTGGTAAGGGATGTGAAGTCACCGTGCTCAGCGATGGAGCGCTCTTGACAGTGTCTAGTCGAGGCATGGAGCGCATCAGTGTCTACTCACACAACGACATCGCTCTCCCTCCCACCCTGCGCAACCACTGAAGCGAAGAGCACGACGAGAGATATCGAAAGGGCGAGTTGAGCGCGCATTGTGGGTTTAGAGCTCTTTCTTGATGAAGTCTGCTTGCTGTGAAAGAGAGGAGCAAGGATGTTGTAGTCGTGCCTCAGCTTCTGGAGAACAAATTCACGCTCCCTCTCGTCAAGGCAAGAGCAGCAGCAAGACCTGCACCGACCTCCAGTCTGTCGTGTGATGCTCGCAGACTCACACCGTGGCTGTACAGTGAGTACTTTTGAGCGCTACAGAAATTGGTACCGACGGCATTGCATGCGACGTCACGGCCCGCAGTTCGGAGTCCGCTCGGCATGAGGGATAAGCTTCTGTGTGCGGGGACACGGCAGCAGCTCAGTCTCGTTGCTGATGCGCGAACAAAAATCCTGATTGTGAATCTCTCCCAAAAGGTGCCCATAGAAGCTTTGAAACAAACCTTCACGAGTGGGGAGGCACGCTTTCGCTCGATCAACGCCGCCAAGGTGAGTACGGACCAGAAAGACACGTGCGTGCCTCTAGCTCCGTGGTGTGGTGTTGTGGGCTCAACAACACGTTTGAAAGCTGTCAACTCAGTCAAAAGTAACAAGCAGAAGAATCTGTGCAAAAGAATCTGTGATTGATATTTGCGATGCGCCATCTTTCTGATTGCGTTCCGGTATGTTCAATACAGCCAGCATGCTCTGGCAGCGACCTTGCATTCGAAGTTCGCTCTACCGGGAAGCTCAGAGGACAAAGGCACCTCCGAGAACGACTCCAACCATGGCGAGACCGAGCTGGGCGGTAGCGCCACTCAGGTGAATCTTTCCAACCGCAGCATCGGGGCTTCTGGGGGAAGAGGAAGTAGGAGCGCTGGAAGTGGAACTTGTGCTGGAGGTAGGTGTGGAGCTGGTGCTAGAGCTGGAAGTCGTGGTTGTGGATACCGACGAACTCTCTTCAGAGCTCGTCGTAGTGCTTTCTGGTCCACCCCCTGCAGTGGGCGTCAGCGTGGGTACCTCAGATCCTGCGCCCCCGCTGGCACTGGGAGTAGGCTGCGCCGTGATGACGGTGCCTGCATTGGTGCCGTCAGGAGCCACGCTAGGAAGCGAGAGAAGGTGAATGGGACGCGAATGAAAATGAGAAGACGTCAGCGACCAGGTAACGAACGAAGTGGGTGGAGCAGCATGCTCAATCCTAGCCATTGTTGCTAGCTCGCCTGTCTATACGCCTTCTATCTGAGCCAACTCACATGACAACCGTTCCAGCGTCAGGACCGGTGTTGCCTTGAGCCAGGACTACGGCGGGCACAAGGGCCAAGGCAGCAGCGATAGCGAGGTTGAAGCGCATCTTGTCAGTCTGAAGGAGGTCGAAGGCAAAATGGGCCAGATGTATGGTTCGATGTTCGATATCGACGACGGGAAGAGAGAAATGGATGACTAGGGCAGCCGGTTAAGGGCCATCCGAATCGCTTCTTATATCAGGAGCATTCACAATTCTGCCGTCGCTGCCAAGGGCCACCCACGCTGCAATCACAACCATGACTGCACATGATTGCTCATGCAACCAGCTCTCGCTGGTCGTGCTTGGCATCATGGCCGGCACCCAGAGAATCACACAGGCAGTTAGCTACCTGAAGGGGAGACAGGGACTGAAAGCGCGGGAACCTCACTCACTCACTCACTGGTCAAGTCGTGAGTTGGTTGAGGCGGCATCCCTTGCTTTTGTTCATGGATGGCGTCATGCCCGCAGCATCATCTGATGCATGACAGCTGAAGCACGCGGACGTAACCTGCGATCCAAACTCCTCCGCGCGCGGCGACTTGCTCCAGTCACGAGTTTGTGAGTCAAGAGAAGACTGCATGCAGCTATACCAGTCACAGTTTTGCAGGAATAAAGACGCCGCGCTGCGCCCCACCAAGTTCAGAAAGGCGTCCATGCAGCAGCAGCAGCAGCAGCAGGCAGTGCCAAGTCAGAGTGACGGACCACT